CCCCAAAACCCCAAAACCCCAAAACCCCATTGAATGCATAATGAGTGATTTATGAAATTAAGACTTAATTGATTTTCCGTCATAGTATTTTCGTATTTAATTTCTCAAGCATATCTTTATTCTTAAATATCTCCTAAGAAGGAATAAGCTTAAAAGTCAGTCTTATCTTCAATAGTCTTATTTTGAGCCTTGATATGAACTTTACAAGAGTGATAAAAGATGTTGTCAAAATAATCCCAATAAAGACTAAGTAAACTGCTAGTATTGAGGTGAAGTTTGAATCAATAAGGAATTGAAAGGTGGTATTAGCTTTACTCTACACATTTCTGAAAGTCCATTCGAGATAAGCATAATATATACCAATATTTCTGAATGTAGTTGGATTATAAAATGTGTCAGTCAAGTATTTCACAGTTCTTTCAGATTAAGGTTTTGCATTATAGTTTATTCTCATTTGGTTTATGTGATTAAGTGATGAAGCAATAATCTATTATAGCCCCACTAAAAGGAAACCCTATGCATCAGTGTAGCAGTCATCATTGGCCCCACCATTGTCTATCATAAATTTACAATACTCAGATGAATCCATCAAAGCTAATGAATCCAAGATACTAGAGAAAATACCAGAAGTATCCTTCTTTATATTTCTGAACTTGTTTTCATTATTGTTACACTCTTCGTAGATGCTATCCAGGATTTTGCCTGAAAAAGAATCCTCTCTCATTGATTCATTATACAAAATGCTTTTTTACAGCAAGAAGTAGATCTGTGTCTAGCATGTGTTTCTAATATAGAAAGCATCGTATTGGTAGAAGGCTCTCTAATAAGAACTGAGGATGTTTCTAGACATAAAAAACACTGAAACATAGAAAGCGATGATCAATGAAGCGACTAATGAATGATTAATTTGAGAATGGTAACTTACTGATGTAAAGAATCGCTCCAATCTTGAATTTCCTCTTTTAAGCTTGCTTATTCATCATCTAATAATCAACTGTATGTGCTTATGATTTTGATCCCTCCGTAAGTGCTCCTTTAGTCTAATTTTCAGTATTTTTTCTTTTTAATCTTTATTTTTTATGACCTTTATTTTCACTTTTTCCATCATTTGAAGTGTCATCATTTGATGATTTTTCTTCTTTAATTTCTTCTTTCTCACTCCTTGCAAACTTACTCTTATTGAAAGTTATCTACTGGCTCCTAATAGAGATATTTGTTAGCAAAAAATAAATAAATCTTACTTATAGCTCTTTTTTAGATCAAGCTGAAATTTAAGGTTATCTCCTTAGAATTTTTATAATGGATCAAGTTAAGGCGTTTTTATTGCTTGGCTAGGTTTTTTATTGAACTTCAATTTATTGTTATTCAAAACTAGATCCTCGTTTGATTCAAATCTATCATTTGTTTGATAAGTTTACTTATTGAAGGTTTGATGTGAAGGGAATTGTATTTATTAGGAATTTGCCTAATTAGATGTATTTGATTCTTTATTCTCCTCAATTACATTGAAGGCTGGAAAGGTCTGCTACGTTAACTCAATTTAAGATATCACCTAAATATTATTAGTTGTTCGATTATTTTATTTAGATCCCTCTTCCTCCTATAAAAATTTGTTGCTCTCGATGTAATCACTGAGTTCTTTGCAATTTTTAATTATTTCAGAGACCTTTACTTTGTCTGTTTTGTAGGTAAATTGTAGCATCTACTTTTATATTTCTTCTACTCCAAACAAGAATGGAATATAAAACGTAGTTTAAATCAATATGATTCCGCAGCACACTAAAGTGAAAATCAAGAGCATTTCAATAATACTATCTCCGTGCTTCAGGACAGATTAAATGAATTGTTAATCAATGCTTTTTATCTAAGTTAGCATTATGTTTGAGCCATTCTCAACCAGATAGAAAAGATAAGATAAAATAGTTCTCATGCTTATATCTTCAATTTTCATTGCTTTCTGGATTTCTTGTACAGTGTTTGTCTCATAAATATTAAAGGAAGCGATAAAGTCACTAATTTCATAGTTACCTAGTTGAGAAGTATAATCTTGAAGAAGAGTTAAGGCCTTATATAAAGTCATATTATTGTGCATGATATTTCCTGTTGTGGTAAGAAATGTCATGTTTAGTTATTCATTGTTGAATTTCTTTACAAAATCTGGATCCCATTAAGTTTACTATATACTAAAGTCATTTAAAGATTTTTAGAGAACTTCCAAAACATCTGGCATATTATTCAAGTAGTACAAGCTTATATTTTTATTAATTTATTGAATGCCAAAATCTTTTACATTGATTTGGCTTGGCATGTTGCTAGTGCTGAATATTAAGAGAGATATAAGTTTAGAACTGGAGAAATTATTGCGAATTCTCTTTTCCGAAAATAGAGCGTTTAAATCTTGTTGGAATTCCTATTTTGAATAGGAATTAACAACTAGTAGGGTAATTGTTGTTGCTAGTATCAATAAAAAGCCAAGGATTATTTTGATTCTATAGATTTTCAAAGATTTTGGTAGAAGGTTAAAATCAAAAATCTACTTGATTTCCCCAATTTAAGCATCTTAAGTGCTAAAATTTGAAGAACCAGAACTGTTTGAAGACATTGAACTTAAATCCATAAAATTTTATATCTAACTATCTGAGAAGGTAGCCTGCAAATTATCTGACTAGTGCAATTGTGTAGCACTACTTTAACCTTGAATATTCATTTAACTGAACTCCAAGGTGTGGATATCCACATTTGAATCATACATTGTCAAGTATCTGTTTGCATTCAGAACTGTCATATCTTGCTACACCATAAATATGACAAGATATTCTCTGATAGTATTGTATTCTCCGAATGTTCTCTCCTAATAAAAGACTTTTCCCTGTACTCTTCTATCTTAAAGGAATTCTACTTCATTTATATTTTGAACAAGATGTAAGATTGAAATGTCTGTCATAAATTCACTTTTGTTTTCCAAATTATCAGGGATATTTTTGAGAATGGAATGCATCTGAATATCTTACTTATGAATACTTTGCATTAGCTTTAATATTTAAATGCAATTTTCAGAGACGTGAATAAGTTTTTGATTGATGTCTGCTAAAAATGCAAATACTGTCTGGCAGTTTAATTCCTTCTCAAATAATGAGAACTGCTTCTAAGCATGAATTATACCTACTAATCTAAGACCCTCATTAACGTCATACTTAGGAATAATATTAATTGTCACAGGAACAACTGTTCCATCGCTTTTTTAAAGCCATTGCTGCTTAAGCAGGAAATTTTGTAGACTTGTATTCTTTCTTCTCAAATAATTTTTTAGTAATCTGTCATGATAAGTGTCTATGATTTTTGGTAGTAGCACTGGGAGCTTATTAGTGAGTAAGAATTCTTCAGTATATCCAACAAACTGAGTCAATTACTTACTTACTCCAAGAATACTTTAGAAATTCTACGGATTGGCACTAATTATGATGAAAAAGTTCTTGAAATTAAATTGAAGGAGATCTTCTTCAATACTCCTTTTATGAAGTCTTTGCTTGTTAATTATGATCTTTAGGTTGTCAATATTTTGAAGGGCTTCCTATTCGAACTACATTATTTCTTAGTTAAATCTCCAAGCTAATCTTTCTACTATTGCAATCTCACCACATTCTTTGATGATTCTTGAGTAAATGCTAACATATCTATGATAATTTTTGATAATCTTATCACTCAATTTGTCTGACTTTTCGATTTCAAGCGTATTTTTGTTGATGTTTTGCCAAAATTCATTTACTGTTTAAATGGTACTATTGATGGAGTTAGTGTAACCTTTGAAACTCTACTCAAAGTAGATCATCTTTTAAAATTTAACTGCTGATTCATCATTTAGTTACTTTTCCATTAGCTTGTGGTGTATTATTCTTGTAAGGAAATAAAACTATGAGCATTCATGTATTGTACAACTCTTGCAATCATGATATTTAAGCAAGTTGTAAATGCAGCAAAGATAGTTCTTTTAGGTCTTTTGCCAAAGATGAACTAGGAATAGTCCAAGAATATCATTTTTTGAGTTTGACTGAAGTTCTGAATCAGTCTTGCTAAATATTCTTTGTAAATAAATCTCAATCAGTTAAAGTTTAAGTCTTTGACAGACATCAGCTGTGCATAGAGAAGCTTGCTTTATTTTCAATAGTTTTCTTACTTTCTTCCTTGCGCAGATACAATCATTATCTCTGCAATTCATTTAATGCCTCTTTATTTAGTTTTATAACTGAATCATTATCTTGATGAGTTTATCCTGCTTAGTTTCACTATCGAATTCATAATTAGTGTGCATCGTCCATACCCACTTCATTGCATCCTTAGACTTTGAAAGTTTATCATTATATAGGAAGACGTTTATCCTTCTCTATTGGTCTACAAGCTAAATTAGTGACATGATAATAAATGCTAGCAGAACAATCATTATAAGGTAAAAAGACCGAAATTTAACTGATCTTGATAAACCGCATGAAAGTATGAGCATTGACATAATGATAAAACTTTGGTTAAAATTTGAAAACTTTAAAACCATTAAATCATAGTAAGTTTTTGAATAGATGATAGAGAGTAAAGTTAGCACCGTAAATATTGCATAAATATAGTATGTATAATCGGCTGCCTGAGGCAATGATATAGCAACTGAATACATGTAATAAACTAGTTCTTGAAGTAATTGAAACTGAGGTGCGAGTTAAGCCCAAGGAATATTGTATTATAAAGGGAACACATTTTGTAAAAATGAGTGAAAGATCATAGTATTTATGAAATCAACAATTAGTAGTAATATTGACAAAATCTCAAGATTTCTGGCTTCATCTTTGTCTAACTTCAAATCAGTAGCTGCTTAAATTACAGACCTAGTTGCAAATGATCTGCTCGGAATGTTTAGGATTAATACTATAACCAAGTATTGAAATATGATGAGATTCAAAAAGAATTTATAATGGGAGGGCAAAACTTCTTTATCATCGTCTGATGATTTTCTACTCACATCTCTTTTTCTGGTGGCAACCCATTCAAAAATCAGTAAACTTAAATACTCTAGCAGCACAACAGATTGAAAAATGAGTAGAAATGCAAGGAATATAATCATTGAATAAGGAGGGTTCATCTAGTAAAATGCAAGTATCAAACTCTTGTATACTGGCTCATTGTAGCAAAATACAAAAAAGGGATAGCAAAGTATCACGCAAGATTGCAGCATCATGAGAAACAAAAAGGTACTCTTACTAATGGCATTATTAGCCATCAAATCAAAGTTTAGTTTTATAAGTGCTCTGACAAAAGAAGATCTCTTCATTTTATTATCTCAGGTTTAGTTTTAAGATTTAAGTAAATTTGAAAAGTCTCTAAATATTATATTTAACCTATTTTAATAATGAGCATATCTAAATTGCATTCTAATCTTTTTCTATTTGCCCCAAATTTTCAATCATGGGGTTTTGGGGTTTTGGGGTTTTGGGG